GATTGTAGTTTCTGAGTCGACTTTTAGTATGAGGTCGTGTTATTGATTCTTTTCGTACTGCGTTGACTCCAAAAATGATTAAATAACTTGTCTGGACTCAAAATTGGTTACACACCTCTAGATCACCTTTTGTAAAATAGGAAAACTTGCTTGCCTTGGAAGAACTAGAGGAAGGTTAGTTTAGTTTTAATTGTTTTATTTGTTGTTTATTTAATATTTAAACATAAATGCATATTTTAACTTTCTTTTATTTTATTTCTTGTGTTATAGGCATGAAGAGTTTAACTTTGGAGCAACCATACATCATAATTGATGAAACAATTAATACTTTAGATATTTTTAAAGTTTAGAACTTAAAAGTTTAAATTACTTACTTAGTAGTCTTATTATTATTTGTTTTATTGTGTTGTTTTTATTGTATTGTTAAGACTCTTTTAAATTTGAAATGTTTATTTTGAATCTCTTGTATACTTTTTTTTTGAAAGATGATACTTTGTATTAAGGAATAACAAAGTAAACCACCTCAAGTACCTCATTAAAAAACCTCCCTAATCTTAGATGGAGGAAAAAGAATGTACCTTGGGGTGGTAAAGAACAAATACACATAAGATTGTAATAACAATCAGACCATAACCCCAAACCATCATATAATAGGATCAACACTGACAACCAACAGTATAAAAAGAGGACACACAGAGCAATATACACAAACAACAAAACCACAGGAATGAACCTTAGCACCGGAACGAGCAGGCACCAACACCCTGAGCTTGACCTAAGGCACATCACTTAGAAATGGATACTCGCTTGCAGAAGGCTCGGACACAGACCAAAACAAAGTACCAGGGATCGAATACTTCTCGGTAACTAACCAGCTGGCCCAAACAGGAAACCTCACAACTTTAGAATCCAAAAGAAGAGTGAACACCAGACTCATAAACACCCTCTTCCAAGTAGCTCCAAAACTGAACACCCAAAGAAACCTCCAATGCTCAGGACGCCCCAACTTCTTTATTGTTAGTTTTTTGGCAAAAATTGGCCAAATCCCACATTGGAAATGAACAAAGGATGGAAAAATTCTTAGTCTATAAATAGAACATTTCCCTTTAGTTAAATGGATGTCAATCACCAAAATACAAGTGGTGTACTAGAAAGCTTTTAGTTATACTAGTAGAGAATTTAAAGGGAAATTCTCTTGGGGTGTACTTTAGCTTTTGGGCATGTGTGAGAGTTAAATATTTTGTAGTGTGGTTGTAATAATTTTCCACATAGTAAATATTTTTTCTCTTGGTTGTCTTTTGACAACGCTTGTGGTTTTTTCTCCATTTGGGAGTTTTCCACGTTAAATTATTGTGTTTTCTCTCTTTTATTTTTCAAGTATTTTTGTTAATGTTGTGATCTAAAGGGATTGTTGGATTACAATGGTCTATTTTCCCAACAATTGGTATCAGAGCCAATGGTTTGGTAAAAGATAAACTTCAAGGCGGGGTAAGAATTTCTTTAAAATTCTTAGTATGCTCTGTGGTTGCGGCTTTGTCCGATCTTCTACATCAGAAAAGATTTTTTAGAAATTGTTGTGGTCCAACTGGAGGTCCTTTAAATATGTTATTGTGTTTATTGAGTGTGGTATTGTGTAAGTAAGTGCAGCCAAGAAAGTTTTGTCACAAAGGCTATAATTGCCTAAGGAGGTTGGGACTTAAGCGGTACCATTTGTGTCCCCCCAATCTTTCCTGGAAACTTTCTTAATGCATTTTGTAGATACAATTGTTCACTCATTATTCACGTGTGAGATCACTGGAGCATTGTTGAGCAAAAATGAGTTTCAGATTTGATATTGAGAAATTTGATGGGAGAATTAATTTTGGGTTGTGGCAAGTACAAGTCAAGGATATACTAATCCAGTCTGGATTGTATAAAGCCTTAAAGGGAAAGCCAGCTTCTTTGTCCGAAGGAAAGGAACCGGATAAACCTAGTGACAGCAGTGGAGACAAGGGAAAATCCAAGATGAGTAAAGAAGAATGGGAGGAGTTAGACATGAGAGCAGCAAGTCAGATTCGTCTCTGTCTAGCAAAAAATATTCTTGCTAATATTGCTAGATGGTCATCAACAAAGGAGCTTTGGGAAAAGCTTGAGGAAATGTACCAAGCTAAAAGTCTTTCAAATAGGTTATATTTGAAGGAGAAATTTCACAAATTGCAAATGGAAGAAGGCACAAAAATTTCTGACCACCTTAGTGCACTAAATGGGATTGTTTCTGAACTGGAATCTATTGGAGTGGAGATTGATGATGAAGATAAAGCATTGAGACTTATTTGGTCTCTTCCATCTTCCTATGAGCACATGCAAACCGTTTTAATGTACGGGAAAGAGAATGTGAATTTTTCAGAAGTGACAAGTAAGCTGATTTCGGAAGAAAGAAGGCTGAAAAATGGAGAGAACAAATCTTCTGAAAGTGGAGCATTGTCGGTTTGTGGAAATAGGAAGAAGTATAAAGGCTCCAAAAAGAAAATTATCTGCTGGGGATGTGGGCAATCTGGACATCTAAAGAAGGATTGCAAAAATGGTGGAGCTAATTCGGCTAATGGCTCCAAAAGTGATGCTACTAATGTAGTCGTCTTTGAAAATGAAGACGATGAATTTGATTTTAAAGTAAGATATATATCCTCATGGCATGATAGCTACCAATTGAGTTGCCATGGAAAAGGATGTATGAAAAGGTAGCATGTCCACATTTACACATGGGCATTGGTTGACAGTTGATGCAAGGTGTATGGTGGAATTGATGTCGATGGCTAATGAACTTCCTAGAAAGTCAATATTGGAAGTTGCACCATAACTTATTAGCAGTTTTTCGACATGAACTGTCGAGGTAAAAATTCTTGGAGTTAGTGAATTCCAAGTGTGTATACTCTTATGGTGGAGTATGACAATTCTTGTTTTTAGAATTGTGACTATCATAGCTGATGGTGTTATTGAGGTAGCTGTTGTTTTTATGGTTAAGAATTGTATGGAATTTTTGCCAAGGTGGAGATTTGTTAGTTTTTTGGCAAAAATTGCCAAATCCCACATTGGAAATGAACAAAGGATGGAAAAATTCTTAGCCTATAAATAGAACATTTCCCTTTGGTTAAATGGATGTCAATCACCAAAATACAAGTGGTGTACTAGAAAGCTATTAGTTATACTAGTAGAGAATTTAAAGGGAAATTCTCTTGGGGTGTACTTTAGCTTTTGGGCATGTGTGAGAGTTAAATATTTTGTAGTGTGGTTGTAATAATTTTCCACATAGTAAATATTTTTTCTCTTGGTTGTCTTTTGACAACGCTTGTGGTTTTTTCTCCATTTGGGAGTTTTCCACGTTAAATTATTGTGTTTTCTCTCTTTTATTTTTCAAGTATTTTTGTTAATGTGTTGATCTAAAGGGATTGTTGGATTACAAGGGTCTATTTTCCCAACATTTATCACTCCCCGGGGGCCATACGAAACAAACCCCACAGCAGAATTGATACCTCCATCTGACTTGAAAGAAGTTTAGACTTAGATACTCGAAGATGCTTCTACCCGAATCCTTCTACTCAACCTCGAAAAACAGAAACTACTGCTAATGGAACATCAAGAAACCTGGGCACTAATGGACAAAGAAAGGGGCAAACCAAAATGGGCACACCAAATAAACTATCTCTGACTAATAAAAAGACCGACCAAAAAGATAGTATGGGCACAACAAATAAACTATCTCTGACAACTTCCGAATAACCACTAAAGGAAGAATGCGGGAATTTCGAAGCTAGCAGATGCAACAAACCCCTCCTACAACCAAGAAAACTTCCCATCACCGACAACAGCTGAAAATACCGTTCCCAGGAGCCAACCATGCACTCACAATCTTCTACATGAACCTCCGAAAGAATAATAAAGGAAAAAACCCTACCCTTAATGATAAACGTGCTTTTCTCAGGTACCACCGACGCCCACTGCACTACCAGAATCAATCTGGCTACATCGAAACAGACTCTAAACCTTGTTACTTCATGAAATGAAAGAAACAGAACCCCACACGACCCCTAAAAGGATAAAGAAAATAAAAGTACCACACTAACGATGAATCATCTATGAAAAATCCCATATTTTATTTATAGATCTCTGCTCAAACCCTACTAAAAACCAGTTCGAGAAAGCTGGTTCGACACCGGTTAACTCTGCTGATCCAGCTCACCATACGCTCTAAAACCCCAATAAACTGGATAACCACCATCAATACGAGCCTAATAACAAACCTAACACCAAACCCAACTGCTAGAAAGACTGGGAAAATGACATCCTCGTTATACAACCTATGCTTATAGCAACCAGACAACACTCTCTCCACCGACAAAACCCTCTAAAAACCCTTCAACATAGCTACTCCGACAAGAGAAGGTGGAAGCGAACTTTCGAAAAACTGACAAAGAACAATGCACCTAAAACTAATATCCTAAATTGCTGATTCTCTGAACCAAATGCCTGTGACCGACCACCAACGACAATCCGACCACCCAAAACAACCTTGAGAGACCTGACATATATAGTAGCCAGATTCCACACCCTCTTCACCACGTTACCAGAAACATAACTAAAGATTTTTTATTCCAAAGATAAAACAAGAAAAACTTAAATTATAAACTCCTCCAGCAACCTCCCATCTGCCCACCGGACCGCAACACTGGCTTCATGCTTGCTACTGAACCTAAAACACGCAATATGGATCCAATCACAAGGGCTCCATCTGCTTCAAAAAGCAAAGCACACGAACAACACTGAACCCTACTCCATGAAACTTCCTAAAACGTAGACGGGAGAAGAAGCCAAGCAATCAACCGGGGCAGCGGAGGCAGATGGGAGAAAAAACAAGGAACTTCTTGATGGAGATTTTGGTGGTATGTTGGTTTGGTCGCTCCTTGACGGAGATTTTGGATCATGCTATTGCTACTACCTGAGGGAAATAAATACAAGGTGGAGGGAGCCTGTCAGACAGCTGCGCGACCAACCCAGCAAGACAAGGCAAGCTGAGAACGATCCTCCGCTGTTAAGGTGATTCAACACCGATCCACCATACCATTAATCACGCTCAAATCGCACAGCCACGATTCATCATCCAGACTTGGAACCCTGTCTCCTTAGAACTCAAGGATACAGAGGTACGAACCTATAGAACATATCCTGTTCAAGTAAGGTCGTAAATCTCTTGTATACTTGTAATATGTTTATTTTGAACCTCTTATTAAAACTTTTTATTGTGTTGTTGGTTTTACTATGTTGTTAATACTTTGGATAATTATTAATGTTTATTTATAACAATTAAAATATTTTATTGTGTTGGTTTTATTGGGTTGTTGACTTATTTAATTGTTTATTTACAATTTTTTGAATGTTTTAATTTTTTATTGGAATGAATATTGCAGGAGAAATTTAATTTGAATGAAGTTTTGATAAAATTATAAATTAGGAGAGTATCTCCTAATCTATTCCTTTCAAATAAAAGAATACAATGATAAATGTTAATTGTATATTAGGGGAGATATGAATACTGTCTTTCTTATTTATTTCTTACTAGTTAACTTTTTAATTAAACTTTGAATTTCTACATGTTATAATTCATTCCCTAATTTGCTTTCTTTCCACGGTTGATGTTTAAAATGTTAATTCTTAATAGTTAATACTACATATATATCAGCGGGTGGAAGGCATAATGTTTCAAATTTTTATGCGATGAAAGCTCTTTAATATTTCATGTCATTCTAAGAAAAAAAACACACACAGATAATGATATTAATATATCATTAGTCTGTATATGTGCGACTAGAGAGATTTGAAACTTAAATCTCAATCCACAAACGATGAATTTTAGGATCTATATTATTATTATGTAATAGTTTTCGTGATAGTATTATCAATATGTAATTATTATCATTTATCACCGGTTAAAAAAATACTTTAAACACTAAAAAAAATGACATTTAGATTAGATATTCATGTACATGATCTGAAGTTTCATATATCCGAAATTTAGAATTGAAACGGATTCAATATCCGATTTTGCACACTCTATATTACATAATTGAGTCACAAAAGAGACATACCGACTGAAGACACTTATTTTTGTCCGGATCTATAAAAAAAATTATATTATTATATTATTATCATTATTATTATTATTATTATTATTATTATTATTATTATTATTAATTTATATACTATAATTATTTTGTAGGCCCTATGCTGAACTCCACGTATCTCAACCGTTGCTCTTTGTGGGAAATGGGTTGTGCACCCATTATCTCCTCACGTCTTTTATTGGGCAGTGGGGAAGAGAAAAAAACGCAGACTGGAGATCAGCAGGTAATTCTATGGGACCCTCCAAAAGCTGGTTATTTAATGAGAGGGACGTGCAAGCCATGAGGGGGCCTCGGTTCTTAAGCTTTGATTTCCTTTGTTTAACATCTGGAACACCATGCCGAAGCCAAGCTTCCCATATTTTTACGTTAGGCAAATCAACATGTCTTGCCCAACAATTGCGTACACCGTGACCCACTTAACAAACGGCGGCATTACCTCAGTTGACTGCTAGAAACAAGTACGATCATGGCGGCTCCTTCGTTCCATCATGGCGCTCCTTATGCCCACCTGCAACCAAGCCATCATCCAAAACCCACAAATCAAACACCACCTTCTTTACACTACAAATTCTGGTGTTATCATAGGCACTATCTTCGGTTACTGGAGAGGAAAAATCCGGTTTTGCATCCAAACAAACTCCAAGTCCCCCGACCCGATTCTACTCCTCGAATTCGCAGTTCCTCTACGCCGATTTTGGCTCGAGAAAATTAAGGTGGTATACTTCGGATTACGCTGGATTGCACCGACTTCGAGTTCAGTTCGTCGATGCCGCCGTTGTGGACTATGTACTGCAACGGAAGGAAAGTCAGGTATGCGGTTAAATGCCGGCCTTCGAAAGCCGATACGGATGCTTTAAGGCCAATGAGGTCGGTTGTGGTCGGGGCCGGAATGATTAGTGAGAAAGAACTCGAGAATGAAGATGATGAACTTATGTACTTGAGAGCTAACTTTCAGAGAATTCGTGGCTCAGCTGATTCAGAATCTTTCCATTTGATTGATCCAGGGCTAGCAATGACTGAAGCCAACAAGGTTGAAGATGATAAAGACTTGAGAAAGAAGCTTTGGCTAATGGTTGCCAAGCATGTGATTGAACAGGAAAAGAGCACTAACAAGATAAGTTTGCTTTAAATTGAATTGCAAATGCAATTAAAAAAAGGGCTTTTGTACACGTGAATTTAAGCAGAACCCACGTGATCAATTTTGGGTAAATTCTCCATATGGTCCTTCAAACATTATGGGTTTTATTTTATTTTATTACATTTATTTTTTTAATTTATGTTATGTTATGTTATTTATTTTATTTTTTTTCTTTTGATTTATTTAATATTTTTTATCTAACATTTTTTAGACCTTTTAGGATAAATTCTCCGTATGGGCCTAGCAAGTAACCTTCGGGATTCATATACCATATGTCTTCATGTGAATTTATTTTTTGTATGAGCATAAGGGAATGTATCCTCTTGAGTTTAACTTAGTCCACATAAGCTTGTAATGGGCTTATGACTAAGGGTCTGGCAAGCTCAAGGGGGCACCAACAAGGAAAACTCGGGTACCTTTTTTAAAACCTAAACCAGGAGAGTACAGGGAATTAGAGCCCACTCCAAAACCTCATTCCAAACCCTAGACTGCTTTGTTTCATGCTTTACTTTCTGTTCAAAGAATGCGAACTAGACAAATATGCGGTTAGGATTTGTTTGAAATTAGCATGTGAGATAGAGATCATTTCCGGGTAGGAATAATATGCATGTGGGGTAGATATCATGTGGGGTAGGACTTTTATTGTCATGATTGTTTTTGATTATTTTCACCTCACTAACTCTTTTCATTTTTTGTCATCTTTTATTTTATTTCCATCTTTTGCATCATTCATTCAAAAGAGGTGTTGATCCACTAAAAACGTGTTCGTTAAACGTAAATAATCTACATTAATGGACAAAGGGGTTATAATACAAAGAGATGAAAAGTTTAGAAGTCTAGTTTTGGTCAAAGAATACTCAGGGGCAAAGGTTGCATGGGCAAGATGAGAAAAAGGTTATTGACCTGGAGAATCCCTTCAGAGACAACATGACATTGTTGACAAATCCAAGAAGTGAGTTTCAGATAGTTCTTTTCAATAGAGGCTTCCAAAGGCGTTTTCGTTAAGGAACAAACTCAACAGAGAATGAAAGCCGGAGATGCAATCCTTCAAGACTTTTTTGGGTAAGCAGCTCGTCACTTTCACAATTTAGCCAAAGGAGTTGGAACGGTACGACAAGGTATTCAACCGGTGACAAAAAAAGACGGAAGACGAATCAACTTGTCAGAAGTTATTCAGGATCTATACCATCAAAATGTTTTTTGTCTCTTAAAGACATAACACTTTTGTCCCCAATAAGGATTATTTATAACAACAGACACTTTTTGGATCAATGCCTCAAAAATTTCATGCATAATGCATTCTTGCATATTTCACATTTTTTTATATTTCATTCAAGAGTTGGACACACCTCATCCACATGACACTCGTTAAAATAGAAAAGAGCAGGAATTCTACGATGAAAGAAAGGACACTTCCGAAGCAGAAATCTATTCAGGATCCTCAATAAGTGAAACGATTGAGAAGCAAGTGCGGTTGAAGGCCCTAATCCTCGACATTTTAGAAATAATAGGGCATCCTAATGAGGATTTATTCCATTTTGCAGCATCCTGCTTGGTCTTGTTTTTTTTAACTTTCTCATATTTCTTTTTGAAACCTACTTTTGAACTTTGACATATTTCTTTTTATGAGGATATTTCAATGAATTTGCGCTAAGCATTGAATCAAATTTACAACTTGAAATTCTTTGAATATCAGCTGGATTAAAAAACTTTGTAAATGATTCAGAATTACAGATCTTTAACAAAGTGAAAAAAGGACTTTACCCTGAAAAGCCCGAACACCATATCTTTCCCTTACAATAATCGATATAGCCTTATCCTCTCATAAGTGAACGAAAAATAGGCTTGGTATTTAGGTGTGCATAGGTTCGGACAACATGGGGCATCTTTTGCATATGACATTACTATACTTTTTGTTTAATACGTTCAGTGATGATAATGATCTTTACAGATGGAATAGCCGAGTAGGTGAATCTAGTTTAGGTTAGTTGCTTGAAAATTGAACTCTAAAGATGAAATTTTTGACCTTCAACAAATACCTAGACTATAACATGTTCTTCTTGACAATCTTAAGAAATTAAATCCTTAAAGCCGAGTTATTCCACTAAGGCAATTGGTTATAGAGGAAACTTGAAAGCCCTAGCCTTATGAATAGTTTACATTCAAACCAAGACATTGCTCGAACACTTGGCAATTTGGTGTTTGCTCCACTGCTATTATCCGGCCGAAGATTTTATGATTAGATGAACCCTTCAGTTAACTTGATAAAAGTGATTATAATGTTAAGCTGTCCCTCTAAAGCAATTGGTTAAACACCGCAGATTTATGGATTCAGCTATCCAGATAACGGTAAATTAAATCAAATTTATCTAAACAAGAAATGTTCGGTAATGATGGACTAAGGGAGTTAAGGAACACATGTTAAAGTCAATTTCACACGAGCACTCAGGAATTTAATTTTTAGACCGATATTTCTGCACTACCTTTGTTAGAGGAGCTTACGAAGCTTGAACAAATGGAAGATTTCAGAGAATCGAAATAGAAGGTTTAGTAATTGATAATGCTAGTTGCGTCATTTTATCCGCATCCAATTAAAATGCCAAGCCAAAGAAAAAGCATGTTGCAATAACCGAAAAATGACATTTTTTATGATTGAAACTGTAGGTCAACCTAAAGCCAACTCATCAACTTGAATATTTGTCAACGAGCTATAACTCTGGAAGCATTAAAAGAGCTATTGATTCCTTTGATATTCTTTGAACTCATGTTGATTTTATTCGATTCGATTGCAAGCCTGGATTATGGGGCAATGTTTTACAGGAATTCTTACAGTTTTATATCTTTTTTTCTCTTCCCCCCTAAAATGAGAGAAATGAGATTTTTTTTTCAAACAGGACAGTGTCAAATGTGTAAGGTCCTGGAAG